AGCAATTTGAGTTAAACTATGTTTGCCTTGTGGCCTCGGCACACCTATCTCAATATATACATATATATATAACTATATACCAACATCGACACGAAACGACCACTACCGTCGTCGTCGTCGTCGTCGTCACAACCGCACCGACCGTCTAACTGCTATCCACTGAAGGACCACAGAATTGTGGTTTACATCTAACCTGCTCCAATAACCTCAAAACAGTATATATGTATAATATTTGACTTCTAATTATGACCATTATTTGACAAAATGACCATTTTATTATATATTCAGAACAAAGAATACAATTCATATTAAAAATAAAAATTTCTTTTTAATTATCTTTTTAAATGAATTTTTACTTAGATTTTTTAGGGTAGGGGAGAGCGGGGCAAAGCCGCTGATATAACATTTATTTATAAATATTTTTGTTATTACACCTTCAATTGACGTGATTTTTTTTTCTATTTCATCTAAAACTAATTAATAACAAATTTCAATAGTAATTATTTAATTTATTATAAGCTTGATTAATTAATTTAAATTATTTTCAAAGAGATGCAAAAAAACGGCTTTGCCCCGTATGGCGGGGCAGCGACGTTTTTGCTTATATTTTTTAAGGTAGAAAATTATAGCCGTTAAAACTGTACGAAGTTGCAGTAAATGACCTAATATCTTTGAAACATAAGTATTTTATACATTTTTTAAAGAGTTTTAAGTTATTTTATAAAAAAATATCAATACTTGTATTTTTAACCTCACATTTTGAATTCAACTCTTCACTTTTTCGTTGAAAAGTCTACTTTACCAACTGTTCAAATTCAAAAATAATTTAAATAACGGCGCAAAAAAAATATTATGAAATATTAATATTATATTTACATAAAATTGATAATTTTTTTAATGTTAATAATAAATTTGAATACTAATAAATTAATTTATGTTCTAAATAAAAACAATAATAATAAAAAATAATTAAATTGAAATATGTAATTTTTGAAAATAAATAAAAACAATTATTTAATATTATTTTATTTAATATTAATTTATTAATTTTAATTTATGTTTTGGTTAAAAAATCAGGTTAATATTTGTTGACATTTGATTCATGTGAAGTTAGAAAAACTTCAAATATGAAGGTAATGCAGATTTTCATTTTCAACTGTTTTTATGAAACAGTTTTTAAACGGATTTGCCCCCAATGACATACATTTTTTATTTTTAAAATTTAATTTATTTAAATAAAAAATAAAACCTAAATTTCATGCAGATCGTGTAGATAAATGTTTCATTTATTCAAGCAAAAAGTTTTTAAGACCTAAGTGCATAAAACAATTTTTTAAATTTGAATCTTGGATCAACGAAATTTTCATCTCTTCCTTGCAAAAACTATTTTTATGTTATATTTCCTAATATATTTAATATTTTTTAGCTGTTTCTTTTCCAATCTATTGCTTTAATCGTATTAATAATAAACTGTTAACGAAAATTGTAATAGATTAGAAAGAAAGAGGATATTTCAAAAAACGACTTTGCCCCGCATAGCGGCTTTGCCCCGCTCTCCCCTACCGAATTTTAATTTTGCTGAATTTTCATTCAATAGAATGTTTATTTGGATTTTTGTTAAATAAAAATTTACTAAATTTCTATTTGAACTGTAGTGTTTTTGATTAGAAATGTAGTAGTACAGTGGGTGTATTCACTATATATGAAGGGGGGGGGGGGTCACGTGTTCGACACGAGAGAGGAAATACCACTAATCTGTTGTTCTCTCTGCGTCTGGGTGTGAGTCCACTGAGAATCGAACCTCTGCAGTTTCTGAAATATTTATACGCCTCGATTCAAGACAAGATGCCTCAAACACTATGTACTATTGAGGTAATTGGAGACATTGTGGTCTCGACTCTATATATATATATATATATATATAATGAAACCCTTTCGCAGTGAAAATAGTTAATAATATTAAAATAGTAAACTTTATTTTTAAAAAAGTATTTCAATATTTTATTAATTATCAGCCGTCTTTTTTATTATTTTCTAAATCTGAACTAGTTAATTTAACTGCGTCGATTTGTTTATTAAATGAATTAGAAACAATTAAAGACTAATTTTTAGTAAAAAAATGACTAATTGTTAGTAAAGAACTACTAATTTTAATTAGTAAAATTTATTAAATGAATTAGCAGTTTTCTACTAATAATTAGTTACTTTAGACTAAAAACTTGTTAGTCAAAAACTACTAATTATTAGTAGAAATAATTCATTTATTAAAGTTTACTAATTGAAATTAGTAGTAGTAAAAATGACTAATTCAAATGTAGGGAGTAAATAAGAAACTAAATTTTAAAAATTTACTATTTTAATAATTATAATCGAAGCGAATAAACAATCAATATTTAAATGTCAATTAAAAGCGAAATATTGTTTACTTTTTATAACAAAAAAAAAAAAAAAAGAACAAAGAACAAAAAACCCTTTTTTTGTATTTGTAGAGTATTATCCCGTCATTGTTATCATTTCTTTGTATCCCTTTTCAATTGGTATCTCGGTATTTTTAACATGTTCCAAGTGGAGTTTATCATCGGGTTTTAAAAATTTGAACGAACACGCTCTTTGTACTTGCGAGAGGCATAATTACCCGCGAGAGGAGGACGGCATTGAATATTTTAGTTGCAACCACTACCCATGTTTCCCCCGGTGCGCCCCTGCAAAAATAAAACGTGGAAGTACACCCCAAGAGTTGCTCGGTTGGGTTGGTTTGAGGCCTTCGAGCTAGGGATTAGAAGGAAAGTTATGTCAGGCATTTTGCAGACAGTTTTGCATAACTTGAATCCCCTGCAACCCGCGTCGTACGTGGATAAAACAAACGCCAAGAGCGTTATTTATATATATATATAATTTTTTTTTCCCCTACGCAGACGCCTTTCATCAGATTAACAATGATTACTCGGACGTTAATTTAGCAAAATAAGGTCGAGCTGTAAACACATTTTTTTCTCAAATATAGAAAGAAAAAATTGACTCTTTAATTAAAAATTAACCAACTTCCGTTTCATTTTTGGGTTTAAAATAGAAAAGGCGATATTCATTATTGTCAACAATAATTATTATAGAAATTATTTAAGTACTGAGATTTATCTTCTACTATTTACATATTTTCTTTGTATTTCTATAATTTTCAAATAGCTGTGATAAATTTCAATTAACTTTAATTGCCACAATGTTTGTAATTACCTTTTGACAATTTGAATCAATGAAACATTCAAGTTAGATGTACTCTTTAATTATATATCAATATTAGTATAGAAATTTAATTATAATTAGTAAAATTGTGGTTCAATTCTGGTTATTGCAATTAGAGATATTGATTAATTAGGGGGAAATTTGACATATTGATGCTTTTAATGAAATAATAGTCTGTTAAATTATAAATAAAGGTATTAGTCACCTTATTAAAATATAGTCAATGAGAGAGATTTTTAATGCAATTTTTTTAAAATGAAAAAAGTCACTTTAACTTCACTATTGACTGATCGTACAATTTAAGTAGTAAAAACGTGTTTAGTCAGACCCCAGGTGGAAAAGTTACCGGTAGTGACTACCAGTAGTCACTACCGGTAGTCAATACCGATAGTCATTACCGCTCCCGCTACCGGAATATTCACTACCGGTAGTCACGACCGGTAATTTTTCTTCGATTACCAGTAGCCACTACCGGTAATCACTTCCGGTAATGACTACTGGTAGTGACTACCGGTAGTCCCGAAAAAATTAACGGTAGTGGCTACCGGTAATCGAGGAAAAATTACCGGTAATTTTTCCGGGAGTTACAATCAAAATTTATTACCAAATAACAAATTTTAATTATAACTCACGGAAAAATTTCCGGTAATGACTACCGGTAGTGACTACCGGTAGTAACGAAAAAATTACCGGTAGTGACTACCGGTAGTACCGGAAAAATTACCGGTAGTACCGGAAAAATTACCGGTAGTAACTACCGGTAGTACCGGAAGAATTACCGGTACTGACTACTGGTAGTCCCGGAAAAATTACCGATAGTGACTACCGGTAGTACCGGAAAAATTACCGGTAGTAACTACCGGTAGTACCGGAAGAATTACCGGTAGTGACTACCGGTAGTCCTGGAAAAATTATTAATAGTGGCTACCGGTAGTCCCGGAAAAATTACCGGTAGTAACTACCGGTAGTACCGGAAGAATTACCGGTACTGACGACTGGTAGTCCCGGAAAACTTACCGATAGTGACTACCGGTAGTCCTGGAAAAATTATTGATAGTGGCTACCGGTAGTTCCGGAAAAATTACCGGTAGTGGCTACCGGTAGTGAATATTCCGGTAGCGGGAGCGGCAATGACTACCGGTAGTCACTACCGAGAACTTTTCCACCTGGGACAAGAAAGTTTTTTAAGTAGAAAAAGTTAATTTAGCTAAAGAAAATCGATCAATCATTACGATTTCAATTTTAGAGAAAAAAATTCTTTTTTCCTGAGATACGACACAAATTAAGTAGAAAAATCCAGTTTAGTCAGACACAAATATTTCGTTAAAGTTGAAGAATCAGAAATTAAGTAGAAAAGTCTAGTTTAGTCAGACAAAAGTATTTTTTGTAAGTAGAAAAAATCAATTTATCTAACGGAAATGGAAAAATCGTTACGATTTTAAAAGAAAAAATTATTTAATTATCATGGATCCTACAATTTAAGTAGAAAAATCAAGTATAATCAGACAAAAACTTTTTTTTATAAGTAGTAAAAATCAACGTAAGAAAATTTTTAAACAGTTAAAATTTTATTTTTAGTAGAAAAACCTCTTCAATTTTCCTGACCTTAAAAGTAGAAAAATCGAGTTTAGTTAGACAGAAATTATTTCCTCTAAGTAGAAAAAGTCAATTTCCCTAATTAAATCAATCGTTGGGATTTAATGTTAATTAATTAATAATAAAAATAATTCTACAATTTTGGTGATTTTTTATGATTTCAGGTTAACACGAGGCCAATCGAATTGGTCTGATGATCCTGGAAATTCAAACAGTATACCTCGGCAATCTGGAGGTCGACAGACTCCAGGACCATCTTCGCGAACTGTAATTCACGAAGAAGATTCATCTCCCTCCTGCAATGGATTTAGGTTAGGCGTTTATGGATGGAGAAAACGGTGCCTCTACTCTCTAGTAGTAGGATTAATGATCATCGTCATATTAAACTTAGCTCTTACTCTTTGGCTACTAAAAGTCATGGAATTTAGTTTCGTAAGTAAAAATTTTCAAATAAAATCTATATTTCTTTTTTACGATCTACACTTATTACCAAAACAAAATTAAATTGCCTATATAATAAAAAAAAAAAAACATTGTAATTTTTTTTAGTGACTTATATACAGCGGGAAAATGATTAAAAAATTGTTTCATGATTTAAACGCAAAAGGGGTTCAGGCGAAATATTAATTAATTGATATTATAAATTCCAAATAAACCCTCATTTTAGAGGGCGAGAAAGAGAGAGAGAGAGAGAGGTCGTTATGGTTTTTCATAATGTAATTACTGATTTATGTCGGTCGTTACTGGTGTGGCTAAAATGAGAAATGTTAGGGAAGAGCACGTTGAAAACTAGAACGAAAGTTTATACTATATATAGGATTTTATTCTTGAAACTGGAGCACCTTTGTTATTTATGAAGATAGAAAAAAAAATTGCGCTTAATGAGTTAACAATCACGTAACAGATTAAGAATTACCTTTTCTAATTATTTCACAAAAAATTTTTAAATGTCAACGAAACAAATATAAACACATGATGTTAATGTAAAAATAAATCATCATAAATATAGATCTTAATTAGAAAATCATTTATAAATTTTTTGTAAACTAATTTTTTAATTTAACTACCAAAAAAACACAGATATAAAAAATGTGAAATTATTTTAAAAAAAAAATTGCTTGTTATGAATTTAAAACTTTTATTTAGCTGACCTCAATAATAAAACTTCCATATATTTTCTTTTTCAATAAAAATGGACTTTTGAAGAATTTATTTTTCTTTTTTTTTCTCTATGATTTTCCAAAGAATGAGCAACCGGAGACAAATATATATATTCATCTTTTTTTTTTTCTCTATATTTCTTTGCATTATCCTTCCTGGTGAATTCACCATTTTTAGTTATATCATTCCTTCGGCTCGACACCATTATCGAGTTTATACGAAATCGAGAGCAATCTCGCACAATGATCCCTCAATGCAAGCTAAACTCGGTGGGAATTGCGTATCAATCCGTAAGTAAAGACTCTAACGCTCTCAAGCATCCAAACCCATCCCTTGGGAAATGTCCCAAAGCATAATATGCTTTCTCAATTTTATTCTTTTTTTTTCCACGTTTCGCTCTTTTCCTTGTTCCTGCTTACACGATAAATATAATCCACAGTCCATTATTTTTCACTCCCTTAAATCATATTTTATTCTTAAATATATTTTCTCTCTTTTTTTTCAAATTTTCACGCCTGATTATTATAAATTCAAACATATGTCCTATATTTATGTAGGTAAAATTTTGCGAATTTTATAATTTAATTTCCCATCTCGGAAAAAATAGTTATAAAACTAGTCACTTTACTGTAAAGAACTAAGAAATTTTTTTTTTACCGTTTCAGTAGAAATAGTTCCTCTAGTCAGACAAACTTTTGCATTTTCTAAACCAAAAAAAATTAGCTACACGAAACACATTTTAAAAAAAAGAAAAAAAAACTTCCTTTCAAACTTATAGCGACTCTATATATGATCATAAATAGAAGTTCTGAATGAGAAAGTTAAAAACATATATACTATATTCAAAGACGAAAAAAAACAACATTTGATGAAGAATAGAAGAATTGAGGTGAGGTTTCGGAAGTGCTTTTTGAGTAATGGTTCTGGTAATGTCAGATGGGCACACCTGAAGGCGAGGTGCTGGGAAGTAAAAATCGAGCCATTGTCAAGAAATCGTCGACTCACTTCCCAGCTTATATAGAAAAAAAAGAGGGAAAAAAAAATTCTACAAAACAGCAATACTGCCAAAGTAGCACAGCACTCACCTTTATCACGCAGGTGCCAACTTCTGGAATAGCTTTGTCGAGCGACCTTCTCTCTTTTGCTCTCTCTCTCTCTCTCTCTTTCTATCACAAGTATAAGGGTTGGGTTAAGAATTTTCAAGACTTTGATACCCATCTTAAAGTTTTCCTTCGTTGTGGGCCCCCACCCCCCTCCCCTTGAGTAAGAACGCGATGCACTCGCGGACTGGGAAATATTTTATGTCCTTCGCGCTTCTCTTTGCCCCATTCGCCATTCTTTTCCAGCCATTCATATTTGATGAGAACCCCTCATCCCTTCCTCCTCCCCCCCACAACAGTTTTTTTTTTACCCTCATCTCGGATAAAACTCTCCGAGCGAGTTCGAAAATTCTCGTGACCGAGAAGGCGGCATCAAACCACCACCATCCTCTCTTATAATATTACAGATTCTCGAGAAATTAAATCATTTTTCTCAATTAAGGTTTGTGACCGAAAATCTAAGGCTTTTATTCCATTAGGCAGTAGAGTGCAAAAAAAAAAAGGAAAAAGAAGAAGAGGGGTGCAAAACTTTTGTACGAGTTCGTAATTCCATGACTAAAGGGTTAAAAGTTGACGGGATTCCATGGAAAAATTAATTACTGAAATTTCGCCAGAAGCTGATTCTCATTATCTATGACTACTTTGCTTCATTTTTTTTTTTTTTAAAGGTCTTAATGTTTTGAATTTATCGTCGTTTTTATTAAAGTGTCGTGTTTCACTTTTTCAGTACGTTACTTTCTTATTTCTTCGAAGAGAGAGAGAGAATCATACCTTTATGATAATGTCATGTATTTCTTTTTTTTTTTTGCCTTATATTTGATTTTGCTCAACCTATGACACAAGAATAAATTTTCCTGCAGTGAAAAAAAAAAATTACCCTAATAATAATATTTAAGTAAAAATTAGTGGAAATTTTCTAATTGAAAATAATTTTTTCTAAAATCGATTTCAATTTTTAAACCTTAAAAGAATATTATCATCGCAGAATATAACAATTTGACACCCCATAAAATTTCTGGGTCATATCGAACATGCGAGTATATTGCCACTAAGGGTTACATCCATAACCATATAGAGAAGAGACATTCAGGCCTACACAATAGCTTCAACTGAACCATCATAATCTTCAGTTCACCGATTATTTAGTGAACTGATTTTCAAATTCTCAATATATTTGCCAAAGAAATTTTTCAGAAAATTACCAAAGAAATCTCAGAAAACATTTTTTTTCAACCTTCAGTAATATTTCTCTAAAAAAAAAAGACTAGAAAATAAATGGAAATAGCAAGTTTTACTAAAAAAAAAAAAAACTGTTCAATATGATTTAAGTAGAAAATCCGACGTCAACCAAAAAAATTTCCTTATAAGTAGAAGAACTCAATTTAAATAATAGAAATCGACTAATCATTACGATTTAAATTGTAGTAGAATTATTTTTTTAATTTTATACAATTTTCAAGTAGTAAATTCGAGTTTAGTCAGACAAAAACTAATTAGAAGAAAACATAATTTAACTGACATAAATCGGTCAATGGATTAATTTACCTGAATCGTTACGATTTTAATTTTTTCACAATTTAAGTAGAAGAAGTCGAGTATAGTCAAACAAATATTTTTTTTAAACTACAAAAACTCAATTTAGCTTTATTTCGAATTTCCCAAAAAAAAAACAAAGTCAAATTATAAATTCAAAGCAAAATCTTTACCCAATGTTACGTCGACTTGAAATTGAACGGAAATAACGGCAGAATCTCTTTAGTAATAAGCCTTTGGAGAAAGGAGAGAGAGAGAGAGAGTGAGAGAGATCATAAAACGTAGAAGCAGAAAAAAAAATTCTTTAATTGGCAGAAAGTCAAGCCGTAGAAAGAAAAAAAAAATTAATTAGAAGGTGAAAGATGAAATAAATTATATTATATTAAGGGCCTTGCGTGTGGAGGTTTTGAAGTTGAGCGGAGATGGGGACGTCTCAGAAGCGGAAACATTATAAGAGAAGCGCATCTGAGAAGCGCATCTACGGTAATGATGTCCTGAGGCTCTAAGCCTTTAACATCTCGAGCATTTAATAATTGTTACCCTCGGGACTATTTATATTTTATTTTACTTATATTTCGTATAAAGCATAATATTTCTATCAAAACTGTTTCGGAAAAATTTTTTTTCTACACGTAAACTGAAAAAAAAAAATTAATATCTCTCCTTATTTTCTCAAATATTATTTCTTATAAATGTTTAATATCAATTTTATTTATCTAAATATTCGAACCAATAAATAATTAATAAAAAATAATAAAATAAATAAAAAAAAATTCCTAAAATTTGAGTCGAAGCTAAACAAAAAAAAAATATTATATTTTATGTGCTCAAATGTATCTTATACATATAATCACGGCAACCCTTACGATTCTACCTAATGTATGTAATCCAATTCAGAACCCACCATCAGTGACTATCGTCAGCGTCCGTTTCTCGAGAACACACTACGATTTTATGTCGTTTTAATGTTGTCCCATTCAAGTATTAAAGTAAATGGTGTTTTGAAGAGCCAAAGCTATTTCTAAAGTCCCATAGTCATGGGTCACTCTATTCAAAAGCTTCAAGTAACTATATCAATTCAAAAACACTTTCCACTATAAATTTCACGATGTAATTTCATTTATCAGACAATTTTATTTTCCCTTTAACAAAATAATAAAATAAGAATTTGGAAAAAAGTTTTTAAAAAAACTAAAATAATTAATAAAAAAAAAAAGTTAATAAAAATTTGGAAAAAAAAAATATTAAACAATGAATCTTTATATGATTGGCATTAAAATATTTCACTCGACAAGTTTTGAATGAAAAATTTTTAATTGAAGAATTACTAAACTGAAGTAATTACTGAAAATATAAAAAAAAAATGTCTGGCAACGTTCTTGCAAATTACTTTTCAAACTTGCCTCAGAGATTATATACTTGCAGAATGTCGTAGAATAGGAGTAATGCGAGATGAGATTGCTAGTAAATTTTAATTTAATTACTTGTTCTAACTGCACGTCATTTCTTGGAATTCAAGAAGTTTCCACATTGCAACTTGTACGAAGCAGATACCTTCCTCTTATTTGTCAAGTAAGTTTACCTGCCCGCGTTGGAAAGTAAATTCAAATTTAACAGTCACTTTAAACACAATTGATTTCAATTACAGATTAATTAATTCAATAATTAGCGGACACATGACATTAATTTAACATAATAGGCAAAATTTTTTTTATTTTTAAAGAAAATTTATATATCGGAAAATTTCAATATTAAAAATGATTAATTATTATAACAGAAGTATATTTGAACCCTTATCAAAAAATGGGGGATATAAAATGTTAATTAAAAAAAAAAAAAAAAAACTATATTAAATTCTGGTTAGAGGGCTTGTAATTTTTTCGCACTGATTTATGGAATATTAGACTGCATGCAGGGATTATTTTTATCTTTGCACTAAACGTTTCGCGTGAGTGGCTAAGAAGTTAACTGCTCCGATCAACTACAGTTCTAACATGAAAATAGGGATTTTGTTCTTGTAAATATAATTTTAATTTACGACAAACTAGAGGGCCTATGATTCTAACTAAGAGCGTCGTTACAATGATATATACATATACGTTTATATGTGTGGTTTTATTTGAATTTTATTATGCACTCTCTCAAGCATATAATGTATTATTTGACATCCATTTAACACTTATGACGACATATTGATCAATAATATATTAATGTGAAGTTTGCTTGCAAATCAAACTCTCAAACATTAGGGGATTTTTAATTTTCACATTTCCATCAATTTTCCGACAACAATTATCATCAGAAATATTAATAAAATGGGAAAATTTAATTAAAATTATAATCAAAAAATATTTCTTACAAAAATGTGGATATTTTTTTTTAGAAATTCTTTGCAGTGGTCAAGATTTTTCAAAAAACAACTTCACTATATAATCAACATCAAATTTACGGAGCTTATTTTAATTCTATTGCTGAAAAACCCATATTTTTATTTTTGCCAAAAAGTCAACAAAAATTTGCTCAAATTTTGTTAAAAAATTTAAATTTTTAAAAATTCTTTATTCAGAAACTAGTCATTTATATGTAGAATAAGCTCTATAAATTTCCAACAGTTCGGCAAAGTCATTTTTATAAGAAAACTCGGTTCACCGTAAAGCAATTCTAAAAACAGACTTTTCTTTTTCAAAAAAAAAATTAGTACTAAAGACTAAAATATTTTTTTTAATTATAAAATTAATTTAAATTACTTTATACTTTTAAAAAATTTTATTTATTTTTATTTATTTAGAATTTTATTATAGAAAGAAATTTTTTTTTAATAAAAATATGAACTTAACAAAAAAAAAAGTGATAATGTCCAGAAAAGAAATTAATAAAAATTCTCTGAATAGAAGTTAAAAGATAACATATAAAATTATCTCGTGTATGCAAAAAAAAAAAAAAAAAAAAAAATAATCAATAAATTACTATACTAAATGATGTGAAAGGATATTATCTATGTCTTGACAGCACTGAAACATGATATGAAACTTGAAAATTGAATCACTACACCAAAATCGGTTAACTGTAAACGTTTTAGGATATGGTTTTCGGGACAACCTGCGTGGATTCAATTAATTTTCATAATTATTATCGGCTAGCGTTACGAACATGCCCACGCATATTTGAGCAATGACGACAGAAGAGAAAATTATTATTATTATTATTATTATCAACCATAGTCAATCGAGTTGACACATTGACGTTGAAAATTTCTATTTATATTTATTTCCCAAAGAATTTGTTCGCAGTTAGAATTTCCTGAACACATTATATCAAATACTGTCCGCATTACTATAAATAATTATTAATAATAAATAAATAACTGTAATTTTGAAAAAATCCCAGGTGAAAAAATTAACGTTACTAACGTTACTTATATTACTAACATTACTAATGTTACTAACGTTAGTACCTATAAAAAAATTAAAGAGTTTCTAAAATATATTTTTACAGAAACTTTGCCACTACTTTTCCATTACCACTTTCACTTTTACTTCCACTTAAACTTTTTATAATTTTCATTCCCATTTCCACTTCTACATTTTCTAATTCTCATTCGCACTTCCATTCTCACTTCTACTCTTTCTAATTCTCATTCCCACTTCACTTCCACTTTTTCTAATTTTCATTCCCATTTTCACTTCCACTTTTTCTAATTTTCATTCCCATTTTCACTTCCAGTTTTTTATATTCATTGCCACTGCCACTTTTTCTAATTCTCATTCACACTTTCACTTTCACTTGTTCCAATTTTCATTCCCATTTCATCTTCCACTTTTTTATTTTCATTACAACTTTTTTATATTTTCATTCCCACTTCCATTCCTAATTTTTTAAATTTTTCATTATCACTTTCACTTTTTCTAATTTCCATCCATGGTAATTAAAAAAAGTGAAAATGGTTGTGTAAATGGAAATTAGAAATAGTGTTAGTCGAAATGGCAACAGCTAATGAAAATTAGAAGTGGAAAAAATGGGAGTAGAAGTGGGAATGAAAATTAGAAAAAGGGAAGTGGGAATAAAAAAAAGAAAAAGTGGAAGTGGTAATGAAAATAAAAAAGTGAAAGTGGAAATGAGAATTAGAAAGAGTGGAAATGGAAGTGCGAATGAGAATTAGAAAAAGTGGAAGTGGTAATGAAAATAAAAAAGTGAAAGTGGAAATGAGAATTAGAAAGAGTGGAAGTGGAAATGGAAGTGCGAATGAGAATTAGAAAAAGTGAAAGTGGAAACGATAATGAAAATAAAAAAGTGGAAGTGATAATAGAAATGAAAATTATAAATAGTGCGGGTAAGAACATTAAATACTTCCTGATGGTCGATTTTCGACAAGTTTCTGCAAAAATACAATTTAGAAACATTTTCTTAATTTTTTTATAGGTACTAACGTTAGTGACATTAGTAACGTTAGTAATATTAGTAACGTTAATAATGTTTTTCTACCTGGTAAAATATATATTTTTCGTAGAAAAAAAATAGATAGACTTTCCATTAATTTTCCAAGGAAAATCGATGTAATTTTTATGGAATTTTCGTTGAAATTTGATTGCGAATTTGGAAATTCCTGGAAAACTTTTTTCCAGAATTTTTTTTTTAGCGATTTAAAAATATATTGAGTTAATTTGCATATTTGCTTTTTTTTATAAGAGTAGTCATTATTTCTGAACAATTAAGTTAATTCAGTCTAGAGCAAAAATCGAATCGAATAAACAGGAAGATGAGTATCATTCGGATTAAGTTGAAAGTGGTTGCGCTTGTCCCATTGAGACTTTACAGTTTTTCTGGCAATGGGCCAACTTTTCTGGGCGAGTGTTTTCTTTTTCTCATCCCTCACTCTTATACTTTGAAAATCCTCCCAAGCTTCCTGCATAACACTGGATAACATATAATGAAACTCAGACTGCGCGTACCCTGGCCCTCTCTGTGTATGTATATGTATATATATATATATAGAATACTCGAATGCGGTGAACCAATTGCTTCCGATAGAGTGGCCAATCATCGGAAACCAATATAGACGTAAACCCTACCCAACTCTCTCTCTCTCTCCCTCTCTTTCTCTCTTTCTCTTTCCCTTACATATGTATGTAGATCCGAAATTTTACTTGGGAAATATAGGTTGAACCAATGAAAGCGAAACCTATTTCAACCGCATGTTACGAGATACTGAAAACATTTCGATTCACCCAAAGCTTATTGCTCACAGTGAAATTAATAATACATGAAAATTTTTCTCATCAAATCAAACGCCTTTTTCAAATCTAATTATCTTTTAATTAAAACATCAAATTTTAATTTTATCACGAGAGAATATATATATATATATTTTTAATGAAATATTTAAGAAACTTGAATTTTCGCGCCAAAGATATTTTTTTTTATTAAAAATGAATTTTAATTTTAATCAGAAAAAATATTGAATATTAATTTGATTATGCGAATTAAGAGAAAATGTCCTCAATATGATAATTAAATGAAAACTAATTTCGATGAATGAAAAAGTATTTAGTCAAAATTAATGAAAAACCACTGCGCAGAAATTGCGCTTAGAAAACTTAGTTCATTCCAAGTGAAGAGAGAATAATATGAGTCGTTGAAAAGTTTTAAGGGAAGAAATTATTCCCAAGCAATGCGAAGAGAGGACATTTGAATGTGAAAATATATATATATATGTAAGGGATTCGAGAGGAGGCGAAGAACTGTGGATCATATAAACTTAATTTTGAAACTTTCTATCTTTCAGGAGGGTATCGGTTCCTTGAAAGTCGTTCCTGGTGGAATCGAGTTGAGAGGTCAAGCTGCCATTCTAGACGCCTTGATAGCTTCAAGCGTAAGGTCGAGGAGAGGAAGAAACTTGGTCCTCGAGTCCTGGGGCAACTTCACAGCATCCGCAAGGTCACACGACGGCCGTGTTCTCGCAAGATTCACTCTCAGTAAGCAAAAAAAAAAAATTACCACATTTTCTCCCCTTCAGTTTTTTTTACTTATATTCCAAAATTCCAAAAGTTTTCCACGATTTCCCTAATCTAATTAATGAAAATTTTCATGATGGACCAAAAACCGATATAAAAAATAAGAATTTCTAAATGAAAATTGGGTTAACAACAAATTCTATTAGCAAACTCGATTAAATGCCAATTAACTGAGACGAAAATAATTTCTATAATTATAACAAAAATTAATGGAAATAAAAAATTTCGATCATTTTTATCACCAATTGTGGTGGCGCTACTTATCTAGAACATGTCCTTAATAAGCAAACGTCAGCACAATAAGAATTGTTGACTCAATTTTTATTTTCACGACAATATAGCAGATGAAATAAAAAAAAAAAAAGATGATCTCTATTTTATGATTTCCTTTTTCATTTCGCAACAAGTCTCGCAGAAAATACATATATAGATTGTAACGTGAGGAAATTTTATTTCAAATGATATAAAGCTTCGCTCATGTTTGTGTGACAAAAAAAAAAAAAAAAAAAAAATTTGTAAAGCTGGAAAATCACTTATTGGATTATAGACGAGGACAGAGTGGATTGCGTGTCGAGAGGATTTCGAATAACTGACCCCCGAGGAGGACTTTTGTTTTCCGCGGATAGAGAAAGAGTCGTCGTTGGAGCAGAAACGTTACGAGTAACAGGCGTTGGGGGTGCTATTTTTAAAGGAAGTGTACAAACGCCTCTGGTCAGTGCAGAATCTGGCCACAATCTCAGGTATAAACATAAAAAAAATACTTATTTCAATAACAAATTTTTTTTAATTTCTATAAAAAGAATTTTATTTAAAAAATAATTTAAAAAAAAAAGAAAACAAAAATTTTTAAATTCGAAGTAAGTTTGAAAGTTTTCGAAGGCAACAAGGGAATGGGACAAACGGAGAAATTGTGGAAAAACAAGTGAAATAGAGAAGAGAATAAAGGGATTTCCCAACTTTCTTCTTTTCTTTTTTTTTTTTTGTCAGAAAACTTTTGACCTACGAGCTATTAAGTTGATCCGGAAATCACTCAAACGGAAATGGTGATTTCTTGCTCTTCTTTCTCTCTTTTTTTTTTGTCTCATTCCCTCTATAGGAAAAAAAAAAAAATTTTCTCTTTCTTCGTTTTCTCTTTTGCGTAACTTCAAACTCGGATAACCAAGCGCGAGGAAGTATTATCCACGTATATAGCTTTGCACAGTCGTACTGCCACACCGCAGTTATTGATAGCGCCGGGCAATTTACAGACGGATTTACGATTACAATAAAACTTTGCTCGCGCGGAAAATTATATTCATAGGATTGGATTTGCGCCAGATATGAAATACCGCGCGGGAGGAAAAGGCAACGAAGCGCAGATCGTGAAATCGATGTTGCGGTGTCGTTTTCAGTTCACTTTTGAAATTTTTTTTTTTTTTCACCCCCCTTTTGAATCGATTATTGTGAAAAGTCGTGGAACACGAAGAATAGTCGTTAAGCTACGAGATATATATATATATATATATATTGAAAGAAGATAAATTTTTATATACAATAACCACGTTGTTTCCATTTAACAATCGACTCGTTAATTCACATATTCAACTTTTAAAACTTTTCCTTCATTTTTCACTTTGGATAAAATATATAATCCTTGCGGGAATTAGAGGAAAATAATTTATAATAATAATTAACGATCAAAAAGTTTATTCGAACTAAAAAAAAAAAATTCTCTATAAACCAAAATAAAAATCATTTTATTTTTCAGGGAAAAAATTTTTTAGTATCAATTTCGTAATATTGAAATATTTCCATCATATTCAATTTTTTCTTTCAATTTGTTATTGTTACTGTAGACGCGAAAAAAAAACGATCCGCTTGGTTCAAATTTCCAGTTGAAAAAAATGATATTCAAAATTATTTAATTAAAAAACGTAATAAAATTATATATTTTTTTTTATATTTAATTTTTATAAATATATAAATAATTAAATAATATTTTAATATTTGTTTTCAGGCTGGAATCAGCAACGAGATCGTTGAAAATTGATGCACCTCAAAGGGTTGTGCTAGAATCGTTCGGAGGTGAAATATCAGTAACTTGCCTATCGGACATGCAACTACAAAGTATAGAAGGTGCAATAAGATTCGAGTCAAAATCTGTCTTCCTAAAGGGCCTGAAAACTGCTGTTCCTATTCAGGGTTATTCATCGAGAGAACAACAACAACAATATTCGAGTCGATCATCATCATCATCATCCTCATCCTCATCATCATCATCATCATCGCATCAAAATCAACGGGAATCAACGATCTACCAACTTTGTGCCTGTGCGAGTGGTAAACTTTTTCTCGCAAGTCCTGAGGGAGTTTGCCAGGCCGACAAAGCCGTCTGTTAATAGTCAACTTATAAATTAATTATATTCATTAATACTAATTAATTGATGAATTTTTTTTTTCATATAAAAAACAAATTCATTGTAATTAATTACTATTAATAAAAAAAAGAGCACTGACAGTTCAAGGCTGTGTGTCATTTGAAAAATGATACCGAGGCCTTTATTAAAAAGAAAATTTCTTTTTTTAAGTTTTGGCTCTGAAAAAAAATGTCTCGTTCAGAAAATTTCTGTCTAAAGCGAATTTTCTGAACGTTGCGAAAATACCTCGTGTATCTATTATGTAAGGGGTCCTAATAAGAAATTAGGTTTGATAAAGAAAAAAAAATAAATCGAAACAACTTTTCAACACCCTTAAGAATGTTAAAATAAATTTTTTTGAACGTATGTAAATGAAGTTTATAAAAGCGAATGTTTGTTATTAGAGAGCTTGTGGTAGAATTGTGAAATATATATATATATAGATATATATAGTCCCGTGTAATTCTGTCCCCGAAAATGCGCAAAAATAATATTCTTAGGGGTTTTTTTTTCATTTTCTTTACATTTTTCCAAAAAAAATTAAATTTCCATTTTAGTAAATTATTATTCTTTGTTGGGACACCTTACTGTACATATACGTAGCTGTGTGCAATGTATATCTTGTATATCAATAAAAAAAATGTACGATTATCGTTGAACGTTAGATTTTAATCTTGTTCTTTTTTTCACATCCTTTATCACACGAATATTAAAAAATATTTTCTTCCAGAATTCTGACAATCATTTTATAGAGATGATATATAAATAAATAAAAAAATAAGCAATGAACCGGAAATACATTTTCTGGCAAGTAATGACGTCAAAAATTGAACTCCACTTAAGTTTTATTCCAATAGACATGAAACTCGATAAAAAACTAATCAGTTTTGGTATCGAATTTCTCGCGCTTCGTTCAAAAATAAAACGAATGTGTCACCTAATTCTGTCTGACCTAGTTTTTAATGAAACTGCAAATTTTTTAAATTAAAACCACTTGAATTAAAAGTATTTTTCTTATAATATCTTTTAGTATCGAGGAGATTTTTTTTTTTTAATAATTTTAAAATTTTTAAAAAAATAATTAAATATTACGAATTTTTTATAACAAACTAAAATAATATATAGAGAGAAAAGCTGGACGAAAAATTTATGGACTTTTATCTCTTTAAATAATCACAACTCCTACTTTTAAAATTTCTTAAAAATTTTATTTAAAAAAAAAGAAGTTTTTATTACGAATCTATTAAAAATTGATTAAAAATATGAAAGCTTAAAGTAAACAGAATGCTTGGAATGTTTAAAAAGATAGTATAATGTCGAGAGAACGTTGCATGTTGCATCAAGAAATTGCATCTTGTATCAAAGTTCGAGACAGTCATCTCGGAGTTGAAGTATCCAGGTGAGTCGTAATAAGCCACAGTAGAAAAAGCTGTGAAGGTATGGACTGAAAAAAAATGAGGTGGAAGGAGGAGAGAGAGAGAGGGAGAGAGAGAGAGAGAAAGTAAGCGAGAAGGCAAAAGGAGAGCACTTTAGCGAAAAGTTGAACGCCTTTACCCTTATACGTCAAGCGACTTGACAGCGAGCAGAGGCAATCTCACCTAGTAGCCGCTTAAGGGGGTCTGACGGGGAGGTAATTTTCTCGGAATTCGAGATTAAAATTGCATCCAAGGGAAACAAAGTGCGGCCAGGCATAAGAGTAAGGGAGCAATTTAAGGAGCCCCGGTGTGGTGGGACGCTATACCGCCCAACGCGAATTAGTAACGGCTGAATAAAAAATATTCGTGAAAGATGAAAAATACTCTCCCGTCTCTCTCTCTCTCTCTCTTTTTTTTTCTCTCTCTATAGGCAAAAAGAAAAGATATATAAACCATGAAATGAGCGCGTGATCGATCACGATTAAAAAAGTATTATTGTATCGGAAAAATTTTCAGATTCATTCCAAGCTATTTTTCTTTTCAATCAACTTTAAGCTACCTACAAAATATATATTCTAGAAAAAGAAATATTTTTCCTCACTTTCTCATATATGAATGTTAATTAATTTTAATTTAAAATTCATAAATAAACTTCCGTTTTTTCAAGAAAAATTTCAACGGAAATTTTTTTTCTTTTTTTTTTTTTTTGAATACAGTAAAAAAGTTTTAGAATTTTAATATGAAAATTAATATTCTCACGCTGTAGCACATATAACGGATTAGGATTTTCTAACAAAGATTTTGCTTACAAAACAGCAAGGTAAATACGTGACCAAAAATTATTCCAGTTGCGCTCAACCGAAAACTTCATTCAGAAGAGTTAAAAGCTTTCGCAAAAAGGGAGAAATCTACAATTTATTTTAAACTAATTTTATTCTTATCTGGTAAAACGTACGAATCTTACATTTATTTTACAATTTAGTTGAAAATTAAGATAGTGTTATTTACAATTTTATAATTGGTAACTAGATAAGAATTGAGTAATTAAGAATAAATTATCACAAAAACACCTCTTTCTAGAATCTACAAAAAAATTATTCTTCAAAATATTTTACTTTTGTATTTTAACTTCTTAAAAAAAACAATTTTTTACCTAAACTCAAAAACCTAAAAATCGTTCTTAATTCCTTAAAAATAAATTCACGATTAAATCTCTCAGGAATAGTTTATTAATTAATTTTCACATGAGAAAAAATTATCATTTTTCCGTGTGAAATTTTTTTTCAAATAGAATAAAAAGAATTTTTTTTCACAGACAAGTAAAACTGAACAAAAAGTAGTATAGAGCCATGATTGATTCAAATGACAAATTTGTGATTTTAAAAAAAGATTCGTAAAATCAAATATTTAAAATATAGAGAAAGTTTTGAGGAATTTTTTTTAAACTTGAGAGTGATTTTAAATTCATATATATATATATGAAAGTATTTTCCCCCATGGATGAAGGGGTAGGAAACGGACAGAAAAGGCGCCTTCGGCAACGGATATAGTTCTGCAATATGGGCGAACGAGGATGTTGGGAGAGAAGTGGGATGTGTTCCGTGAACCGTGAAATTGTTGCATGGGGTACGGGTACATCCGATAAAGCTTTAAATACAAATTAGTAATACCAACGGTACGTGGAAATGGGCATCACTATAGAATTTCTACAATACATAATCTGTAAAGGGAGATATCCACGAAAATCATTGTGAATATGGTTAAATCTATACACATATACATATGCAAGTCTATTTAATTTATTACTTTAAAAAGTAATAATTAAAAAAGAATTTTTTTATATAAAAATAAGTTATATTTTTAGATGAAAAATATAATTTTTCGCAATTTCACTTTAAAGAATTATAAGCAAAATAATATATAATGTTAATTAATGAGAGGTTCAACGATTATTTATTTTTGAGATTATATTATCTAAATTCAACTGGAAAATATATCATAACTGATGAAAATATATTTAATCATTTTATCTGATAGTGTTTTTTTTCCCGCTAGTAGGATATAACAAATGATTCTATAATATTTATTGTCGCAATTAGAAAGTAAAATAATAATTTAAACTTTAAAGTGAAATTAGTTTAGAGAATCCCAATGGTCCTCTTGTTAAAAGTTTCGAAAGTCAAACAACATCCCCAAGGACATTAAGTTTCAGGTGTATCTTTCCCGCGTTTTTAAAATAAAAAACTACTTTTTCTTGTGGGAGGGGGTTTTTTTTTGCATATAGTTTGGGAAAGAATGTAAATATATCAAATACAAAGAATATACATCAAATAATAATTATTTAATGCAAATAAATATTTATAATAGTCAAATAACGGATTTTATTTGAAATCGGAAAATATTCTTAAATAGACGCTAAGATATGACTACTTTAGATAAAATTTATGATAATTAGATCAGTTGAAAATTCGGCTCTAAAAATGAAAATCGGATAATAATGTTAGACAAATTAAAGTAGTGAGAAATGTGTGTCACAGTAAGAGCTTTTATATTTGATTTAGCCAAAGATAATGAAATTTATGTTGTTACCGCCGTTATATAAGAGAAAAGAGACAGAAAATTGTTGAGGGTTGAATGGCATTAAAGCTCTCACCAAAGAAGGGTAGGATCACAAATTAGCCTACTACTTTTGATAAAGAGAGGGTTGAAACTAACGAAACGAGAATGAAGAAGGGAAGAAATTATCTTGATGCAGAAAAGTTCTTCTTTACTCTTCAAGTTCGTACAACACTTTCCAAATGCCGACAACTCTTATTTTTCTAAATTATATCAAAATCCTAATTCATTTTTTCTATTATTGAATCAAATTTTGCCTTTTTTCGTCCGACATATTGGATCAGCCATTTTGAATTTTAAACTTTCAAAAAAGTTAAATATTTAACAAAATTTGGCTGCAAATAATTCCGCTTTTTTAAAAGCATTACACTGAAAAAAGGGTTTGGTATTAAGAACCAAACATTTGGATGGTATTTAACAAAATTTTTTCTGTTGAATCAACAAAATTTTGCTTGTCCCAATCAAACTTTAGTTAGGACAACAAAAATCCTTTTTTTATAATTTTGGTTAAACAAATTTTGATTGAGACAATTAAAATTTTGTTGATTCAACAAAAAAAAATTTTGCTTGCTTAAATACTAACTAAACGTTAGGTTGTCAATACCAAACCCTTTTTTCAGTGTAGAAGAATAAAAATAAAGGAAATATGTTTAGCAATGATAAATTTCAGCATTATTATTTTTTTTTTTTAATGTGTTATAAGGGGATTGTATACTTCAATTGCAGGTTCATGAATCTGGACACCCATCGGGACTGTTGTGGGTGGTCTGTGGTAAAAGCGAGTGAGTTCTCTCTGGAAAATGTTCCAGTTCATAAAGCTTGGCAAAATGTATGTACATTGACGTTACACCTATAGATATATATCTACGAGTAAAAACTATATATATATATAGGCCATGTGCAGATCCAAAAGGATGTATATAGAAGAACAGGTTTGTGGTGCTCAGGTGTGAGGCCGAAGGGGGCCATAATAGAGGCTAAATTCCAGCAACGGCCGGAAGCAATTTAATGCACCGTCGTTTTAACTATCATCGCGCCCAGCTGATGTAATATCTTTTCGAGTTGGCAACGTAATGTGTATGTGTGTGTCTAGTTAGGGCAAAACGAGCTGTTGATAAATCTCTCTTTCTCCGTCACTCTGAATTGAGTTTCTCTTTCTTTTTCTCTTCCTCCTTCTCATCATCATCATCTTCTTCTTCTTCTTCTTCTTCTGGATATGTAGAGATGCCGGAGCGGAATTACATCTCCAAATTGTAATTTTGTCGGGACCACCCTAACAGCTCTTGTCATTATTTCCCGTTCCGCGGTACGAATGAGCTAACTTCCGGTTGCAGAGGGAGACCAAAAGATGTCGTTTCTTAAGTAGTAATGCTGTTATATCGACTTTTGTTTTCCTCAAGTGGCAACTCTCTCTCTCTCTCTCTCTCTCTTTCTACAAGTCTTGAAAATACAAGTCACTCTGGCAATTTCAAAATTCATGAATATAAAGAGAATTTTGTAAAATTTAATTAATCAAAACTAATTTCCTAAGATAGGTTAATAACAAAAACGATTCGATAAACGCAAAAAATCAAAGTAAAAACTTGGAAATAATTTAATTTCTGATGATAAATACATATTTTTTACAACACTTTTAATAATACAATGAACCTTATGCAACAGTGGAAAATTTAATTTACCCATTTAGAAAAAGAAAAAAGTAACACACGAAATAAATAGAAACAGTGAAAATGAAAATTGCGAAATAGAAAAAAGAAGCGAGAGAAAAAATAACTAAGAATACCTAGTCTGAAACACAAGGGCAAATAAATGTTTGTAATTTCATAACGCCCAAGTTCTTTATTCGTCTTGACTTTCGCATTAGTTTATTCACTGACATGGCTTATAAAGTTAGGACGTTTCTGATATTATTCTTCCTCTTGTCTGAACTTTTCTACCAGTCTCGAGTCATTATAGAGCCATCGTGTTGATGATCAATCTTCCCAATTCAACTTCCGCATTTTTTTCTTCTTCTTTTTTTTTTAAAAAAAATAATTTCATTTGCAGGTAAAATTAAAAAATAATTTTCGATTAAATAGAGAAAAAAAAATTCAGAATTATTTTATTTAGATTTTTTTTTTAAGTATAAATGTAGTTTGTTAAATATATAAGTATTTGGCACGTCTTTATTTTATTTGGTCATTCAATAAATTTTGCGAAAACTTTTGTCAGTAACTCTAGTCGTCGCTGAAGAGGAGATTGTGAATGAAATTATAATTAAATTCATTAGTGAAACCACACGAAAATCATGACGCCATTGAAGATAGCGAGAGCAAGAGAGAAGAATTGCATCGTCGAGGTCGAAAATACCCCTTCGTGCTTTAAGGGTTACAGCTTAGATAGGGTTAAATTAGCTCTACATTGCCTTATCTCACCGACAAAGTGGATAGCTTCTAAAGGCTCGTCATCTTCCATTTTAACCAGCATAACAAAAATAAATGCACTATTTACGTGCTCTGAAATATTCTATATATGAATTCTATAACCAATATAAACTTTTTTCGAAATAAATTTAGAGAGAAAATAAAATTTCTTTTTTTCATTTTTTTTTGAAAATTCGTAATTATTATTACTACACTGAGTAAAATGTTTAGTATCATCTACCAAAGTTTGGTTCTCTCTACCAAATTTTTTATTTGATATATGTGCAACTAATCCGTTTGGTTCGGGCTACTAAATTTTTTCGTTGAATCATTTTGTTCGGTCTACCAAATTTTTTGTTTTGCACAACTAACTTATTGTTTTTAAGCAAACAAAAAATTTAGTTAAATGAAAATTTTTTTTTTGTTTTCTCAACCAACTTATTTTTTTGTTTCACCCTTTTCTCTTTATATAACCTACCTATGCCTACTTAAATTAATTTCTATCGCGGAAAAAACCTAACACTGCTGGGGCTCGAACCCTCAGACTACGCAACGCTAGTCGAGAACGCTGACCACTACTCTACGAATCCTACTAACAATTTGAGATTAAATCATTTTCACAATGTATAAAAGCTGGAAAAAAACTTTCGTTCTTGTAACAAGTTTTATTTATTTATTTTCACTACACAAACTTTTTTTTTTAAAAAATGTCTGAAAAACATAAAAACTTCAACACTGAAACTTCACGACGCGAACGACATATGGTTAATGTTGACATCCCGTGAATGGGAAGCGACGCCATATTTACGAGAAGAGCGCGTGCGCAATACAGCATGTCAGCTATTTAGTACTGGGAACCAAACTATTTAGTTCGTAAACATGAAAGCTTCAAATATATTTTTTGGTAGAGCCAACTAAACTTCCCGATTTATTGCCACTTTCTATTCTGTTGTGACAACCATATTTTAGTAACGCCAACTAAAAAAGCTCAACTAAATTATTTTCTTATTATTACGAAATTATTTTTCTCAGTGTAGATTTTCCCTAAACTTTAAAGTGGAAATTCCAAAATAAATGCGAAAAATCAATGGAAACAATAGAGGTTAAAATTTTATATACAAATTATATATAGAAAAAGAAAAAAGTGTTAAAAAAAATTCAACTGTATTCGTGGCACGTCCTTTAAAAAGGAGTCTGAAGAGTATCAGCGAAAGTTTTATCGACGGGCATGGAAATTACCGGCACCGTACGTTAGGTGTAAAACTTTATAGATAATTAACTAAATTAATTACACCGAGCGAACGGAACATCGATGCTGGGACAGGCGGTAGCAGTCGAGGGTTGGATATAAGCGACTGCGCCGAACGTTCGACGATAAGTTTTGCTGATAAAGTATAAAGTTTCCTAAACGGAATACGCGCTTCGTTATCAATCACTTTTTCCTGTCGCATATATATATATACACAACATGCCCTTTGATTTTACTTTGTCAAAATATATTTTCTAGTTTTTGTTTCCCCAAAAAAATATCACAAAGCAAATCTTATACTATATAATATATTGTGTATTGCAAATTGCAATAATCAAAGCGAAAATAATTTTCATTTTCTAAAAATTATTGTCACAATAATAAAAAATGGTCATAATAATAGAAAATTATTTAGTAGTGACATTTGCAATTCGTGAAAATAGTGATAAAAAAATTATTACAACCTGCTTTCATTATATTTTTGAAAACAAGAGGGACTCACCGGTCGCGAATTCCCTCGACGATTGACCAAGCAACCCCTTTGGACCATTCTCCAGAGATTCCTTTACTCTTCATATTAAAGTCACTTATTATCAGCATTCCTTTTCTTTTTCTTCAATTCCATGTGATGCTGGAAAAAATAAATGCCTTCAATTTTCGAAAATAATATAGAAATAAATATTCAATTTTATTTAATATCTAAATTTATTTAATATTATTAAGAATATTAATAATAATAATAATAATAATTAATAATGACTATAATTAAATTAAAATGATAAGTGTGACAATGAAAATATTATCACAGAAATATTGAAAATTCTTTATACTTTCATTTTCAAGGCAAATAATAATATTTATACATCCAATCAAAAAAAAACAACAACAACAGTAGAAAAAATTAAAGTATCCGTATAACTTTCAATTTATTAATGGATTATTACAGAAAGTAAAAAAAAATTTTCAAACTTGAATCTGAATAATCTGATGAAGGATTTGCATATTGAAAAAATAAATCCTAGAAGCAAGTCGAAATGACATAAATAGAGACAGAAAGTGAATAGCAATCGGATTTTTAAAACTCAATTGAGTGCAGACCAGGCCGAATGGTTATTCAAAACATTCATTTGAATGTACAAGCATTGGGCTTGGTCTCTCTCTTTACACACACACACATACGTTGCACGCAATTCCAGAGTGCGAGTACCAGATTGAAACAGAGAGGGGTGCGAGGATATTGAGGTCGAGTTTCAGGTGGGGTCGCGAGTTATGAATTAACTGTCATTGCATCTTTGATTTGTGGTATGTCTGTCTTTTTCCATTTTTGCCTTTCCATTAGAGCTTACCTTCTTCTCATATATCCCCATATCATTCAGCGCTATTTTTGACTTTTTTTTCCCCCCATGTCACTTTTAAAAGTTTACGTGTCGTCAATGCCACTTTCACTTTCTTGTCATACGCAATGATCTGCCATCGTTTGATTGATTATTTATCACGTTTTCTTTCATTAGACTAGGAAAAATTTGTTGTTAATTTAATATTGCAAATCAGATTATAGAATTATATTATTACTAGGGGTGCTTCGCGCACCAACCCCCTTGTTTTAATCATTTTTTTTTAATTTTCCATTGATCTTATTTTTCCAAATGAATATTTCAAAGAATTATTATTACAAATTCATTGAAATCTGAATAAATATTATTAAAATTAAAATTATTAAATTTTAATTAATAAATTAATTAAATTAATAAATTAATTAAATTAATAGTAAATAAATAATTAAATAAATTAAAATCGACATCAAGAAATTATTTTTAAAAATAATTTCAATGAAATTGCCTAAAAACCAATAAATTATTAAAAAGTCTTGAAACGAACATAACCCTTAAATTCAACTCATTTCAATACGGAGAGAGATGAGGAAAGGGGGAAGGACTAACTGTTTTATTTAGAGTCTTAAAAAAAACATAACCTCAAAATTTGGGTCATTTTTGGCAGAGGAGGGGAAATGAGTGGAGGGAGGGGGGACTTGAGGCTATATTAAAAGCCTTGAAACGAACATAACCTTAAAATTTAGGCCATTTTGGAGGAGGAGGAGGGGAAATGAAAGGAGGGAGGGGGGACTTGCGGCTATATTCAGAGCCTTGAAACGAACATAACCTTAAAATTTAGGTCATTTCTGGCGGGGGAGGGAAGGGGACTTGCGGATATATTTAGAGCCTTGAAACGAACATAACTTCAAAATTTAGGTCATTTCTGGCGGGGGAGGAGGGACTTGCGGCTATGTTCAGAGTCTAGAAACGAACATAACCTGAAAAATTAGGAGGGGGGACTCCCCCCCTCCTAGGTCAAAATTTCTGAAACAGCGGCGGCGGCTGCGGCGAAATCTTTTTATAATATAGAAAGATATTAATTAATAATTAATTATATTACAGAATTATCTCGATTATCTAGAAAATTCAAAAAAATGACAAAATTTATTTTGACCTAGCTCAGCATCCGCTGGACCAATCAAAAAATATTCGCGAATTTAGGTGGCGGATTTCGCAAAATCACGGTATTTGCAAAATTATAACACGGATACCGCGAAAGTAGGTCACGAATTCCGTGTGAAAAAGATTTCATACTTCGCGCAATTAGAATTTATTTTACTGGAATTCGACAAAATTATTAAAACAATATTGTTACCATAAAATGGCATCTATGTCTGACTATTACCGATTTATTCTACTGAAATCTAAGAAAAAACATATCACAGAAAATTAAAAGGCATTAAAATAAGCTGCAACGCTTATTATTTTAATCCAATTTTGCTTATTTTCTCTCTAAATCTGAATCAGTAGAAATTTTACTAAATCAATCAGTACTTTTCATTTTAACTGAAGTTTCAGTTATTTTTTAAAATTTACTAATAAAATTAGTGAATATGCCCAGGTAGAAAAATTAACGTTACTAACGTTACTAATATTACTAACGTTACTAATATTACTAACGTTACTAATATTACTAACGTTAGTATCTATAAAAAAATTAAGAAAGTTTTTCTAAATAATATTTTTGCAGAAACTTGTCGAAAATCGACCACCAGGAACAATTTAATGTTCTTACCCGCACTTTTTATAATTTTTATTCATATTTTTACTTCCACTTTTTTATTTTCATTACCGTTTCCACTTCCACTTTTTCTAATTCTCATTCCCATTTTCACTTACACTTTTTATAATTTTCATGACCATTTTCACTTCCACTTTCACTTTTTCTAATTCTCATTCGCACTTCCATTCCCACTTCCACTTTTTCTAATTCTCATTTCCACTTTCACTTCCACATTCACTTTTTCTAATTTTCATTCCCTTTTTCACTTTTTCTAATTTTTATTCCCACTTCTAATTTTCATTAGCTGTTGCCATTTCGACTAAAACTCTTTCTAATTTCCATTTACACAACCATTTCCACTTTTTTTAATTACAATGGATGGAAATTAGAAAAAGTGAAAGTGGTAATGGAAATTTAAAAAATAGGAATAGAAGTGAGAGTGAAAATATAAAAAAGTTGTAATAAAAAAAAAGTTGAAGATGAAATGGGAATGAAAATTGGAACAAGTGGAAGTGGAAGTGGGAATGAGAATTAGACAAAGTTGTAGGGGCAATGAATATAAAAAACTGAAAGTGGAAATAGGAATGGAATGAAAATTAGAAAAAGTGAATGTGGAAGTGAAAGTGGAAATGAGAATTAGAAAGAGTGGAAGTGAGAATGGAAGTGCGAGTGAGAATTAGAAAAAGTAGAAGTGGAAATGGGAATGAAAATTATAAAAAGTTTAAGTGGAAGTGAAAGTGATAATAAGAAAGTAGTGGCAAAGTTTCTGCGAGAATATATTTTAGAAACTCTTAATTTTTTTATAGGTACTAACGTTAGTAACATTAGTAACGTTAGTAACGTTAATTTTTTCACGCAAGCAATAGAAAATAACTTATGTAAATCAGTAATTTGTATATAACATAACCTTTAAAATTAACTATTAAATCAGTAGATTTTGTGGCCGACGCCATATATTTATATTACTGATTCAATCAGTAATTAATATTTTACTAATTGAATCAGTAAATTTCTACTAATTGTCAGTTGCTCAATTCTCGCTATGGCAATTAGTATAGATTTCTACTGCTAATCAGTAAAATATGACTGATTCAGATTTAAAGAGTTAATACCAAAATGGATTAAAATAAACAAAATTGGATTAAAATAATAAGCGTTGCAGCTTATTTTAATGCCTTTTAATTTTCTGTGTACAAATAAATTGCGACTAGTTATACTTTCATAATTATGTCGAAAAGGAGAAAAAATATTTAATTACGATTGAAATAAATAAAATTTTCATTTTTCAAAATAATCATTCAAAAAGCAATTGTAAATCATTTTTTTTAGTTTTATATTATAATAAGTATAGAGTATTTAAATTTTGCTGTACCGGAAGTACAATAAATTTTACAATTCTCATAATCTTTTGAAATAGAGCTTGCACGATTGCTGGCAACATTAAGGTCCTAATCAATGTTTGATAGGGCAGCATTATTACCTAACAGTAGTCCCACGGATCATGCCATTATACTGCCTATATTACACGGGCACTGCCACCTTCAGGTTCGTGGATTATGTCTTCAAATCACGCCAACTCTACCAGAGAAATTCTACAATGTTTGTGTGATTTCCCAAGCGTTGCATATTCCAATTCTTTTCACAATTCAAATGAAGAATTACAATTCTCCACTCGTAAAAATCACCCCAAAAACATACTCTTTTTTTTTCTCCTTTTGAAAAGTGTTATATTGTAAAGGGGGAAAAAAAGTATGGAAAATTAATTCTTTGAAAAACTTTTAATTAAAACTCAAAAACAAGATCAAAAATACTAAAAGAATACTAATACTTGTTACAATCTACCCCTGTTACAACTAGCCCCAAAGCTTTCCTATATGTATTTTTGCATTGATTTGACGTGAAAAAAAAGAACAATTTAACACCGCATGGAACTTCAGTTGAAGGGTCTCTTTCTATCTTTCTCTTTCTTTTTTTTTCTTTTTTTTCTTTTTTTTTTTTTTACTGAGAGCTAACCACTACAATTGTCAGTTCCCGTGGGAGGGACCATTTTGCCGTTGGCGAGATCAAATGCTAATTCTTTTAGGCGTCACATGACCAAATTTCGTTCGGATTAGAACGGAATCACCCCCTATGAAATTTTCCACCGTGAATAATAAAAAGCAGACAATCTGCTTCGTTGAAATTGCTCTTGCATCGAATATTCAGGAAAAATTTAATTAGAGAACCAACTTTTATAAAGGGGTTTTTCAAGAATAAGTGAGAAAAAGTAATCATTGAATTTCACATCGAGATATATAAAAGCGCAAAAATGATCGTTTAGACAATTTTTTTTTTTTTTTGAAAAAAAACTCACATCTAACACAGATATTTTTTACTTTTATTTTAATTTACATTTTTCAAATAATTAAATTATTTCAAAAATAAAAAAAAAAAAAAAACTATACAATGTAAATTTATTTTATTCGAGAAAAAAAAGACGAATATAATAAAAATTGTCTAAACAAGACTATAAAAATTTAACAAAATTTCTGCATA